CTTCTTTTTTTCTTTCTCCCACCTGAAGCCAAATATGCTCTGGATTTTGGAATGGAAAAAAAGCTAAGTAAAACAGTAAGAAAGAAAAAAAATTGGAAAATTGAATTTATTTCAAACAAAACGCGTAAACATTTTGAACATACACACACAAACTGGCACATACATCGATGACGAAGTAATCAATTTGATTGAAATCTAATGTCACTTATTATCCAAAATAAATCAAATTGAATCTAAGTGAAATAAAAACATATACAAGAAGCGAAAAAAAGGGAAACCATTAAAAAAGTCGACCCAATAGCATGTAAGAAAGAAAATTCATTCAAATTATTGAATTAATTCAATGATTAGAAATGAAAAAACCAAACAAAAGATAACAAAACAATAATGCTTGTTCAGATAAATGTCATATTTGAAATATACTGTCTTGTCTTGTCTGTCACCTCCACATACAACTATTATCATATTCAACATTTTTAGTATTTGTTGATTACCAAATCATATATGATCTTATGATTCTTGAGAATTTTCAGATGAAATAATCAGTTTTTCTATTTCTTTTTTGGTTATGTTGATGATTTGTATACCTGTATCAATAATATCATAAGTCACGATTATTGTGAGAATCACGATCAACAAAAAAAAATGATAAACAAAAGGAGGAAACAAAAATTTAATATCATTCATTTTGACAACATCTGTTGTAATTCTTTTCAATCATTCATTGATGTCGATCATCATCATTTAGAACAAAACAAAACAAATCAAAAATCAAATCATATTATCAAGAAACAACATTATAATTTTTTTTCTTATCTATATTAATTTTATTTCACTTTTTTCATGTTGAGGGTAATAGATCTTTCAGGTCAATTTTTTCCCTATCTTTTTAACAATGATGATTATTATCGCAAACCTTTTTTTTTGTTTGTTTCAAATATATTCCAATAATAATACAGTTTTTCTCAGAAAAAAAAACAAGTCTTGTTATTATTAATTGCTGAAGTTAAATTTTTTTTATTTTAATGACACTACATTTAATAATAATCAAATGTTTATGTGATATTTTATTACATAAACAAATTCATGTAAATAAATAAACATGTTTGAAAATGAAAATGAAATTGAATGAATGAAATTATACATTACAGAAGAAAATTTATTATCCCGAACAACAACAAAAATGGTAAAGACGAACAACCCGAATGAACCAGAATAAATGAATGAATGGAATAAAAAGAACAATAGAAAATGCCATCATCATTATCATTGATGATCGTCATTGTGATGATGATGATCATCATCTATGATGTCCATAAGCTTGAATAAAAGATATCCTGTTATAATAATTTGTGTTAAAATTCTCTCTCTTTTGTTTATTCTGTTTTGGTTTTATTTTCCATCATCATCATCATCATTATGTAAAATACAATGAATCTATTGTATAGGTACATGTGTCAGTGTCATGAAAAATGAAATCATCATCAAACAAATTTTGTTTTTTTTTCTATTGTTTTTTTTTTGCTGTCATTTTTTCCGATTTAAATCATTAATCAAGTTATTATATGATTAGAATATCAAAAAAAAATCATAATGTGTGTGGATGAATTTGGGTTATTATTTTAATACAGCAGTATTACTGAATCGATTTTTGTTCATGAAAAATATAAACATTCTGTCATTGATGATGATCATAGTATTTAAATCAATATATGGATTTGTGCAATTTTTTTTAAATTACAAAAAATCGATTTCAATGGAAAATATAAGGGAAATTTGTTTTTTTAAAAATTAATTTTGTCAAATGACATGTATTTTGTTGGTATCATGACGATTTTTTTTGTTGTTTACTTCTTTGCTTTATAACGTTTTTTTCGGATATTTATTGGCTAGATTGATGGTCGCCTCGCGGGATAGATACTTTTTTTGGTTATAGATTTAATCATTCAAGCCATTTATGATGAACCTTGACACAGAAAATTTTTCAGTACATTTTGATGATGATTTAATCAAATTTATGATGACAATCATGACAATAAATTTTTTTTGACGCCTTTCACATTCCTCTTAAAATATTTGTTAGCAACTTTTTGTTGAATATATTTTGAATTGATGATTGTCCTATTTTGGATTGATTAACCATAAATTTACAGAAAATTAATAAAGATAATAATGATAACCAATGATTCCTTGGAGAAAGTGAATGGAATTTATGATCATCCTAAATATCCGGAAATTATGTATTTCTTAATGTAAACTATTTGTTTCAAATTTTCCTTGTTTGTTTTGGTTTGTATAAAAATGAATGACAAAAAAAAATCAATTGTGAAACATTGTTTTTGTCTGTAATCTAATAAACATCGATACTAACCTAGAAAAAAAAGAAATCTTAGTTTTAAAAGAAATAAAATTTTTCTCCATACCTGTAAGGTTAAATGCTCTTAATTTATATACACACTGCACTTAGATCATTATCATTGTCGTTATTTATAATTATCAATATATATTGAAAAACATTGATTTTCAAGCAACAAAAAAAATCGTAGCAAATAAATCTGGCATAAATTTGAACTTGAATTGATATTCTTTGATTTTTATTTCTCTTGATTATAAAGAAAAATAATTTTCATCGAATAATAATTTTTCACAACTTGTTTCTCGTATAGATTACGATAAATGTTGTTAGCATGTGATTTTTTCCTATGAGGATTCAAAGAAGATTAATTTCAAGCCTTGAAGCATTTAAAATGATTTGAAAACTTTTTCATTTTTTCTCGTAAAAAAGACTTCCTCAACACCAATGATCAAATAAATAAATAAAAATCCAAATTATTGATCTTGATTATAAATTTCCAATCCATTTCTCACTATTTTTTACTACTTTACATTTTTTCTATTCAACATCCTACATCTATGCAAAATGTCAAAATACACATAATAATATCATGAAGCTATTTATGAATCAAATTTTAAAAGGAATAATCGTCAAAAAAAACCTAAGAAATCCGTTATCATTTTGAAGAGAGTTCAATTTAGAAAATTCGTTTCTTTTCACTTGAAAAAGATCAGATCAATTTGATAAAAATGATGATGACGATGTTTTTTCTGTTCAATTTTTTAATGACAAATATTTTTTTCAAATAATTTCTCTCATCATCATCATCATTGGTATCATTTTCATCAGGCAATTATCAGAAATGTTTATAATACAAATCAGATACATGGGCCATACGGCTTGGCATTTCATTTTTTTCATGATTAACATTTTATCATTATCATCATCTTTAAGTTTCATGATTTTAATTTGGAACATCATTATTATTATCGATGATGATCATTATCATCATCATGACGATGATGGTGGTTGATCAGTGCGTTGATTGCAAGATGAAAAAAATCGATGGAATATGATTTGTGCATCGTAAAAAAGTGGAGGAAAAACAAATGATCAAATTTCAATGGCAATTAATATTTTAAACGTTTTTTTTTTAAAAAAAATCGTGGTCTATAACATTATCATCAACATCGATTTTTTTTAGCCAAAAATATCAAGGATAAATATCATCGAGTTTCACGGAAATACAATTAAATAAATTTTTATCATAACATTTTTAGTTTATTTGAAAAAATTCAACAAACAACAACAACAAAAATCGATAATTTTATGTGATCCAACAATAATGAGACTAAAAAAATGAATGATTATAATCAAATGGGTGGATATTAATGATCATATAATAAAGGAATATGAACGATAGAAAATGATAGATCTAACAACAAAAAAAATGCATAAATAAATTTACGTCCATTGACATTGGCCACATTGAATACATTTATTATTACTATTCTTTGATCGGTCAATTAATATTCGATTACCAATTGGATTGATTATAATTATCATTAATATTAATATCAGTTTACAATGATGATGATAATAACAAGTTATTACATATTTTTTTTCTCAAATCGATTCGAACATTCATAAAATAATAATAATGATAATTTTAACATGTCAAACATTTTGAAATGTTTTTTTGTTTTTGAATTCCATATAATAATAATAATAATGTAGTGAATATAGATAGTATTCAGGATTGATTGATGATGATGAATGAATGGTGAATGAAGGGTTTGTCTGCATCAATGTGTGTATCAAAAGAAAATGTATTTTGTGTGATATGATTTTGTAGATCAAATAGAATTAAATAGTAATATAGTATTATTATCATCATCATCAATACGTAATAATATGTAAAACAGAACAAAAAATTGTTTTTATTTAGTAACAAAATTATTTGTGATTGTTAACAATGTGTGATGAATGATGGATTTCAATATTATTTTATTTATCAAATATACAAACACCAAAACATTGGCAAGATGAATGATCATCACCATAATGTTGATGGATATGGACCAACAAATAAAGAAAAAAAAATTCTCTATCTTTCTAAAAAAATCTATATCCGTTTTGCATAAAACAGTAGCCATGATGATGAATAATAGATTTTTATTGCTTGAAGATATTTTTTTTTTTTTGAAACGAAAAACATTATCGTGTACAGTTTGTTGTTGTTGTGATCCATCAATCTTGATCGATCAATGTTTATTGTGAATTTAGGAGAGATTCATAATTTGAGGAGGATTTGGATTTTATCATTTATAATTACTAATCACTTTTTACTTCGAGGATTAAACTGTCAAAATCTGAATATCTAAAATAATAATAATTTTGTGTTGAGGATAAATGTAGAAAAAAAATGAATTATTATGTGTTCGAAACAAAACATTCGATATTAATTCGTTTTCGCTAATCCGAAACAAACAGACAAAATTTCACACAACGTTGATGAAACAAAATAAATATCCATTAAAATATTGAATAGAGTCCGCCATCTATTGACTCACAAATAAATTAAATGAAAATTCCATGATTTAATGATTCTAAAGAACAAAATTCAAAATATTAATTTTATTATTCTTTATTATTGTATGAAATAAATCTAATTACTCATTATTTGAATTTTGAATTAATCATAAAAATTGGAGAAATATAAGCTGATAGCAATGGAAATTGATGTATCGACAAGCCAAAAATCAAAAATATCCGAATGAATCGACGATCGTATTAGCCAATAACAAAGCAAGGCAATAATTATCTTCATAATAATTAACAAAAACTTAATCCGGTGTTGACGATTTATGGCCAATTGTAATGTTGAATCTGGATCATTCAGTATATATCTTCGACAACCTAGAATAAAATTATATAAATATGGATGCCAATGAATGATACTGGTATCAGTGCAAAAATCATCACGTTCACATTTATCCAACAGATTGGTAATAAATTTGAGATTTTCGTATCGAAAATTCCATTCATTACAAGAAAATGGTTTTAAAACATGAGAACTATCATTCAATCGTTTGATCAATTTGATCATAAATGGTTTTTGGCCGACAACAATGCAGATACAATCAATAACATATGCAAACAAATAATGTGAAAAAATCATTGTAAATCTATAATTGATACGATCCATAAGTGATTGATGTTTATTGCTTCTCATTTTGATTGGCCGAATCAACTTCATTGGTGGTAAAGTATCGGAAAAATTAATTGTAATTCGAAAAAATTCACCCCATGTGAGTTGATTTTGTCCCAAAGTAACATGAATGACTTGCTTATCTTCACTGAACAATGGGGATGCTCGATATGCTCCTGCAATTATCAATGAATTGACCACCATATCCACCGGTATTATGTCGGCTTTGCAATTTTCATCGAATATAATTGAACGTGCTATGCCAAGTGCAGTCATAATAGCTGCACCGGAACAACCAGCTACTGAATCACACCAACCTGGTATAGGTTCTTCGAATGAATTGCTCACTATTGAAGGACGACAAATCATCACAGGAAGTGAACTATATCGTTCTTGTATCATCCATTCAGTAATTGATTTCGATAATGTATAAGGATTAGGTCGACCAAGTAATGCATGATGACCTTTTTTGAAATTGTAATTGCTGTAATTTTGTTTCAAATATTCGAGATATGAATCGAAATTTTCGCCTGGAATTACCGGATAAATTTTCTCTTCAATTTCCTTTAAATGACAATTACCATAAGCTGTTGAAACGTAAACAATCGATTCAAGATGATTCATTTTCTCACACAATCGCAACAATGAATCTGTACCATCAATATTTTGTTGGATAAATTTTTCAAAAATTCCAGTAAAATTGACAGTTGCAGCACAATGAATTACGACATTTACTTCTTCAATCAATTTACGACGATCAAGTTCGGATATTGCCATATCTTTGGCAGTGATATCACCATTGATTGCATGGACGAGTTTAATATTGTCTTTATGCCGTTCAAATACTGGTGATTGAAGAAATAATTGAGTCAATCGTTGTTCAGCTGTTTGAGATTTCTTTTCTCGTACCAATACATAGATACATTTTAATGATTTAGAAAATTTTTGAAGCAATTTCGCTAATAAAACTTTTCCAACAAAACCGGTGATACCAGTCACTAATAATGTTTTGTTATGGTAAAAATCTTTAACCGATAACTTTGTCATATTTGAGAATTAGCAAAAAAACAAGAGAAAAGTAAAATGAAATGATCATGATAATCACTTGAAAAGGATTCGTTTAAATAGATTTATCTCATACATCAATTTGTTTTCAATAAAATTCATTTGTTCATTACATGTATAAGTATTGCATATCAACTCTAGAAATTCACAGATTTTTTTATTTATATTCAATTAAAATTACATTCGCTACTTTATTATATTAATAATCATTTTCGATAAATTCATTCAAAAAGGAAAAAATTCAAACAAACAATAATAGATAATGTTTTGCACTTAATAAATGCAATTGAAGGCACAATGAATTGTTGTATATGTGTGTAAAATTATAATGATCACAAAATAATAATGACAGATTTTCCCAGAATTAATCAAAAGGAAATATAAGTTCAATCATAATCGAGGAAAAACATTAATTTTATTCTGCGAATTATCACCAACGTTTTGCGAATTTTCATCAAATTCAAAAATTTGCTTGATGAAAACTTCGTAAGTTTCCTGTTTGATCGGTTCTAAAAAAAATATTGAGGAAAAAAAACAATTAAAATCAATTCATCAATTCAATTCAAATGTCACCTTATTCGATGAGGGCTTTGTAATGTCTTATTACAATTTATTGTTCCCATCGACGATTGTTGTTGTTGTTGTTGTTGCATCATCATCATAACCAAATTCGCATCCTAATAGGATAAATAATGATTAATGAGAAAAAGGAGAAAATTCCAGAATTTAATGAACATTTACATTTTGTTCAATCTTAGTTGATGAATTTGATTGTTGTTGTTGTTGTTGCTGTTTTGGAAGTTCGTAGATATGATCTTTGTCTGATTTTTTCTTCGATAATTGTTGTAACGCAGTACTGGTCGTAGTTGTGTCATTCGAATTTAAAGGACATTGATTAAGAAATTGTGAATGTGTATAATAAGGATGTTGTTGCTGTTGTTGTTGTTGAATCGACTGTGACGTTTGTTTATTCGGATCACAATCATAGATAATTACCGATTCACCATGATTATGATGTATATGATGAGGATGATGAAATTCATTTGAAATTTGTGCAGATTTCGGTTTGTTCAATGTTTGTGTACAATAATTGGTTAATTGTGCTGATTGCAAAGGTTGTTGGGTTTGTGTGTTCAACATTGAATTCGATTGTGTAGCAATACATGGTGTTGAATAAAATGATTCGACCATAGGCTTACTATTATTGCCAAGTTTACCGATTCTATTTGATGGTGTACCAACATTATCCATAATTGGTGGCAAACTACTTGGATCACAATCACTGGTGGTATATGTCAACGAAGTTGGTCCCTCAACATATTGTGATGTCATATTCATCATTGGTCCACCATTGATCATTTCCGTTGATTGTCCACAATTTAGCGTTTCTATTTGAGTTAATTTATGCGGATCACCACAATTGCCACTATTTCCACCTTCGTTATATGAACGTATCAAATCAGATTTGGAATAATTTTTCGCAAATAAGTTCAATGATAATTGGTCAGTTCGGCTATTTTCTCGATGTCGACAAACTAAATAAAAAGAAAAAAATATGATTATCAATTAGATTTTATAAAAATGTTAATCAAAACAATTACAATGTTCAGTTCGTGATAATGCTTCTTTACTTCGTGTTATAAATATGAAAATGGTTGCAGCACCGATAACCAACAATACGAGTATGGCACAAGTAGCTGGTATCAATATCATTGGATCTTCAAATATACTATCCGTTTGACTAACACCACCAATAACGCCCAAATGTCTACGATTATAATCAGATGCATACAATGGTTCGACAGTTGCACCATCCAATGTTAATGTTGCAAATAGATAACGGGATTCAGTTTCTCCAGCATCATTAGTAGCGATTATACTTAATTCATACCAAGTACCTGGCATCAATTCACGAATAATATACATTGCACCATATTCTGGTTTTAAATAACTTGAAACTGTTATCCAATTGTTATTGTTGTTGTTGTTGTTCGTATTACGTGAATTATCATTGTCGATGTTTGATGATGACAAAAATTTCGAATCTTTTATCCGATAACGTAATGCAAAGTTAATTATGGGACAAAGGCCATTATTCCAACGATCCAAATCTAACATAACCGAAGTTATATTGGATATGATAAATGCGTTGCTATTTGGAACTGCTGGTGCTACATTAGCCATTTTCAAGCAAAAAAAAATGAGGAATAAAATAAGACAAAATTAGATTATAAATTAAATTTAATGTCAACTGTCAAGATTCATCAATTTCTTTTTGCCATTTAGAGTCTATATTCGTTGTGTTGTCTATTTGTTTGCGTGAAAACATCATCATTACGATTTGAAAGGCGTCATGATTTGTTTTATTGAGTTAAGTGCATAGAAAAATATTTTTTTTTATATTTTATTATTCCGCTATGAATAAGTTCAAGCTTCAGTGAAATCGGTTGTCTTTACTATTGCTATGTGATGACCAAGTAATTCAATGCTATGGGTTCGATGCTTCCATTTGATTTCTATCGTAAATCTCAACATAGAATAAAAACTTTGTTGAAATGAAAACAAAAATCTAATTTACACTTCTTAAGAAACAAAAAACAAAATGGAATTCATCGAAATCTATTTTTAAAATAACAAGATCACAATGTGTAACAACAATATTTTTGTTTTTGGCTTGTTTCATTCAATGTGTGTCGAAAATTTTGACAAATATTCCTGGAACAGTAAAAAAAATATTTGAAAAAAGAATAGATAATTTCGTTTCGTTCAACAAAAGGCAAATTATCATTCAAACCTCGGCTAAAAAAAATTCGTATCAAATCAAAGTCGATCAAATGATCCAATAAAATCAAAAACAACAAAAAATTACAAAAACCAATTTTTTTCTTTTCCACTATTATATTCTGTCAATAATGTTGCTGAAATTTTACTGATTTCATCACACAGATAAAATGAAAACAAAATTGCCCATCTCAGCTCAAAAAAACAACTAAATTTCTCACATCATTTTTCCTAAAATATTATTTTCCATAGCCGTGAAGAAAACAAAATTCGAATCAAATCAGTAAAAAAATGAGAAAATTCTATCTACATAATCGTGATTGTTCCAGTTTTTTAAAAAATATTTTTGATTCTTGCATTTGATTCATACATAAAATCATTTCTTCGAAAAGAATCAACATTTCTAACATAGTTATCGCGTGTGTAAAAAAACGATCATGAATAAAAATGATGAATTGATTGTCAAAATAAATGCATCAAATATATGGAATCAAAAATCTTCACCTATGATGGTCATTATAACAACAACAACAAAAGCATAAGCAAGAAAAAATCGATCAAAATTGTTCAATGACTAGTTTTTTGTTTAGCGAATACAAAAAAAAAAATTGGATAGATAATTTGTTTTTTTATTGTCTTCATACTGTCTGATTGGAAACTGGGAGAAAGAATCTAATCAGAATGAACCTAGTTTCTAGTTGATTTATAAATAGGATTAAGAATCATGAGAATCGATAACACATTGTTTGATGCGTTTATATGCTTTCTTTTTTTTTGAACTAAAAAGAAATGATGAAAAATCTTTTTTGTAAAAAGCATCTATATATGCGCATATTTCTACAATGATGATAAGACTGGAAAATTCAATCAAAATTTTGATTAATTTGATTTAATCCGATCTATAGTGATGAATTGTGAATGTGCGATTTGATCCGCTTTTCAATCATCTATTCAAGTGGCATTGTCATTCATTTTATTCTACTTTTTTCTAAATTTCCATTCATTGTAAGTGTTTACAATTAATCAACTTTTAAGCCTTTTGTTCAATCTTTTTTTCTTGTGAAAAAATCAAAAAAAATTGAAAAAATTATTTTTATTTTTCATTTTAATTTGATAACAGGAATGACGAATTCTTGTTTACCTTGTCCAAGTGTAGAAAATTGCAATACATCCGATGGTTCACCACTGCCCATTTCGTTGAATGCTTCCACACGAACCTGATATAACGTACCACATCGAAGATTACGTAATGTGTATCCTAGAATTTTTTCCGAAACGGATATTGTCTCCCAATTATGTGCTTGATATTTACGACCAAATAATTGTTGCTCATCACTATCATCATCAATAGAATCGGAATGGATGAATTCAGCTTGATCGAATGATTCGTCTAATGATGAACTAGAAAATGTTGTCACACGTTTAATCAATGCACGATAGGAAATAATATAGCCTTCAATATTGATCGAATTTTGTTCCATATCAAAATCATTTAGTATTTCATTGCCGATTTCATTTTCATGGTTGATATGTGATAATGACCATATGAATGATGCCTCATATAAGCTTACGTTAGTCAATTTTATTGAAGGTTTACCTGGTGGATCTAGTTTTTTTTTGAAAGAGAAAAAGTCAAATAAAAATGAATGAAATTAATAATAACTAATATAATGAAATTACCTTTGAGCAAAGTTTGTGCATAAACTTCAGCACTGACTGGGCCAGTTCCTTTACTATTAAATGCTTGAATAATAAATCCATATCGTGTTTTTCGTTGTAAATTATTAACAACAAATTCATATACACAACGAATCTGTTCATTACGGGATTTTGATCCACTGAATTTAGGTTTTTGATGCGTCGTCATTGTCGACCATTGTTGTTGTTTGTTGGAATAAAATTTATTTGATTTTTTATCTGATTCTGATGACGTATGAATTATTTCACAAAATGTCGTCATATTGTTATTTGATCGTTGTAATACACTTTGTGAACCATTATTATTGATGGCCATTGAAAACATGGATGATGATACAAATTTTGAATGATCTTCATACATAGTTTTAAACGTATATGGTATTACTTTTCCATTATTTAGATTACTATTGACTGCACCATTGTTAGAAATTATAACGGGCTTGTTGTTTTTATTGTTTGTACTTTGATCACCACTATTATTTGATTGATCCATCATTGTTCCTCGTCCAACACCAATACTACCATCAACAGCAGCATTGACTCCAATCATCATCATGATACCAGTAGATGGATCGATGATTGATCCACTTGATTGTACAACATTGTTTGTTGTAACACTGTTACTTGTAGATGATGATGAAACGACAGGTCGATATCCTATATAGAATCCATCGATCTGTTCGATTGATGGTTCCGTTGATAGTACAATTGACCAAATCAATTTGATCGACCGAGAACCAAGCACCAATGTTCGCAAATCGAGTGGAATCAATGAAGGAGCTTGTTTCATAAAAATAAAAAAGAGAAAAAAACGATTCCATTTTGAAAATTTACCAACAAATGTGAACGTTAAAAGAAAAAAATACTACTAAGAATTAGCATATAAACAGCTCAACAGCTATTGGATCAAACTTAATGAATAGGTTTGAGCTATCGTTTGTAGGCAAATTGATCTTTTTAACAAAATAAAACTTTACCTCGACATGTTTAGTTACAAAAAAAACTTTTTAACACTAACTAATTTTTTGGACTTTTGATTTGAAAAATTCCTATGATTCATTGATTCATTCATGAAAAGTAAATTTGAAAAGTTTTCGGTTCCAAATATTATAATCATCGTTGTTTAATATTATTTTTAATGATAAAAAATGTTTTCAACGTTAACGATTATTTAAATACATTTTCTCAATCGATTCGATCTCCATGAAATAGATGACAATGAATGAAAAAAAATCTGTTTGATGTGTGTAATAATACAATGAAATTCTTAAATTTACTACATTCTTCAACTCTATCACAGAATAGTAGTAGTGGCAGTAGCTAATTATATAAGTCGATATCATATTTGATTACATAAACTTAACAAAAACATACACAGAGACCTCATGATAGAATATAAAAAAATCAATCGATAAAATTCTTTTCGAGTGGAATTTTTTTTTTCGTTTCTTTTCGAAACGAGTGAAGAAAAAAACCGGAAAATAGAATGAAAGATAATCATTACTCTTATTATAACGAGCCACTTATCAAGTTTGTAAGCTCTTCACTCTTGAAAGAAAACAAGAACACAAAGAAGGGATATGAAATTGGATCGATTCGGGATGATTAATCAAAATCGAATTGCGCGATTCTGCGCTTTTTTATCAATATTGGAGGGACTTTTGTTGTTGTTTGATTTAAATGAAACAAGAAAATATAAATTAATAACTTACCTTCCATTTCGGTGGTAATAATTAATGGATCAGAAAATGGACTTGCACCCAATTCATTGATTGCACAAACACGAAATTCATATGTCGTTAAAGGATTTAGAGCATTGATTGTAATGGTCGTTGTCAATGATTTAGCTGTTAGAACTATTTCAATTTTAATAATAATAATAAAGATTCATTGAATAAATAAATGATGTTAAATCATCGAATAGAAACATATAATTGATTAGTATATGAATGAATTTGCGAAGCGATAATAATTCAATTGTTTTCTAGTGTGTTCACAATTGCTGTTGGTGTTGGTGATCATCATCATTATCATCATTATTATTTCAGTACAAGAAATATTCCTACAAGGTCCATAGAGATTCAAGAGTATAAGTGTGCTTGTGTGTGACCACCATAAACGATGGATCTTAAACATCTTATTTTCATTTTACATTTCTATTTGATAAATTCTACTAATGGTCTTAATCCAAGTCAATTGAAGAATCAAATAAAGATCATACTATTACATTCATATTTGACTTAGAACAAAATAATCTTTCAAAAAATAGTCAAAATCTGGCTCATTAAAAACAGCTTTTCGGTTAAATGATTGTATGAATGTTATCGGACAAGAAGTGAGTAAAAGTGTAACTCTATTGATGGATGGTTCAAATAAGTTAGATTTTTCTTTTTCTTTCTTTCATTTTTTCGCTTTTTTTTGTTGATAATAAAAAAAGAATATAATGGAAAAAATGAGACACTTACTTTTCGTTTCAATATCGTTGCTATCCGGTTGTTGTCCATTCTTATTATTCTTGATATTGTTATTATTATTATTATCATTATTATGATTATGATTATTATTTGTATTTGCATTGTCAAACGTTGTTGTTGGTCGATATTCAACCACATAGGAAGTGATTGGAGAATTGCCACCAAAACTGATCGACCAATTCAATGTAATCGAACGGCTATTGATTTCTTGTGCACGAAAATTGACAGGCATATCTGGTGGTTCTTGAACTAGAAGCTCGATGAATGAAACTGTAAAACCATTGGTATTGATACCCATACAACAATATATGCCCGTATCCATACGACCAACATGGCTAATGTATAGATAAGCTCGTTTTTCATTCATTTTACTTTCCTCTCGTAATACTATACGCGATGAATCAAGATAAGTTTTTGTTTTGGATTTTTCATTCCATTCATCACTTGTTTCGCCGTTAGGCCGTAACCATTCGGCAACCATTGGTTGTTCAAGACCAATCACTGAACACATCAACTGTGTTTGCGATCCTTTACGTAAAACTAATCGATCCATTGTGAAGCCACGATATAGTGAATTTGATCCTTTTGAAATTAAATTTGGCAATGATGCGGCTGCATTACCCAATGTATTCTGTATGGATACTTTTGGCAAACTGCTGACAGTTACATAGGCACGAGATTCGATCGGATGTTTGCTAACTTCATTTGATGCATCACAGATATAAATTCCTGAATGTTTTGGTTCTAAAGCTCGTAAAAATAATGAACCATTTTCCAATACATGAATCTGTTGGCTACTCAATATAGGAATTGGTTCATTTCGATAAGGCTAAAATTCAAATTCATTTATTTAGTCATATAATTTTCAACAACATATTCTAATTTTTTTTTCATTTTTACCTCATTTTTTAGAAATTTCCAACGAATTACAGGAGGTGGCTGACCTGAAGTTTGGCAATCAAGTGTTAGTGATTCACCTGAAACAGAATTTTGATCTACCGGTTTCAATAACCATTGTGGAATTGCTTTAACTGACAAAAATTCTGATACACTTGTCGTTGCAATCGGTGATGAAGCCACACAAGTATAAGTGCCTTGATGATGACGAGAAATATTGGCAATTATCAATGATGACATAAATTCATTTATCGGTACAATTTGAATCTGATTTAAATGATGAGCATAATGATGAGATTTAGTTGGTCGAACATGCGTTGATGAACTTGTTGTTTTTATCGATTCTAATGGTATTCCATCTTTGAACCATGAGATCTGTATAGGAGGATCACCAGAAGTTACTGTACAGACAGCTGATCCACGTTTTCCTTCTTCAAAATTATCCGAAAATACAATTGGACTGATGACCGGAGCAACTAAAAAACAAATATATGATGAAAAGATGAGTGATTACTATTTCAGCATTCTATCCATATACCAATCATAATTATGAGTAAATGGGCGGAAGATTTAACAAGGGTTTAAGTTCTTTTTTATTGAAAAATTTGGTTTTTACTCTATACAAAATTCTAAACTTACCAGCAACATGAAAATAAAATTCTTGTTCAGCTTTTTGTCCATTACTGGTCACAACCACACAACGATAATAATCTTGATCACTTTTTTCCACTACAGTTATTGTAATTGAACCAAGCATTGGAACTAAATGTCGTTCATCAAATGGCATTCGTTTTAATCCACCATTACTACTGGATGATAAACTACCGGTGGACGATGATTTTCCACCACCATCATTATTATTGTCAATTCTCCCTTTAACAAAATAAACTTCTTCTAACGGATATCCACCGTACGTGCAATTAATAGTGTAGGGTTTGCCAAGTACTGCAGTTTGATTACTCAATGGTTTTATGAAAGGTGAGCCCATTTGATTGATTCGTGCTCTATGTGATATGGTGGCTAAATAATTATCAGCATTACATTCATATATTCCAACGTCCTATTGAATGAAAGTAATAGTTTTTTGATAGTGACAAAGGAAAGGATTTAGAATTTCCATCAAATGAATATACTTTTTTCTACAACTTACATTAGAATGTAAGGAACTTATGTTAAGATAGGATACAGCAAGCATAGATCGTGATGCTACCGATGAGGATGCTGATGATGATGAAGAAGAAGATGATGATTGTGAATGAGCCATACCATTGTATGATTCAGTGAAAGTTTCAATTCGAACGTGACCATTGGAAAATATTTCTATGCCATCAAGAAACCAACTAATTTTTGGCACTGGTATTCCGTAAGCGGAACATTTCAATGAAAGAAAATCACGTTTCGGACCATCAATCTGTTTTATTTGATCCGTAAAAACATCGACAAACTCTGGTGGTTTTTCTATGGAATATATAAATAACGTTTACTTATTAGAATTGTGATTTATTTACTAATTGATTTGATTTTTTAAGTTTATTTTTTCAGATACAAACCAATAGAATTGATGTGAATGGCGGCCATAAATGATTCATCATCATAATCCGGAGCAGTCAATCGTATTGAACATTGATATACACCGTTATCTTCTGGTCCACGGAAATCTCTGATTAGTAAAAGTTCTTCAGCTGAACGTCTTTTACGATGATCATAATTGATCATTTGTCCATTATGATACCAATTAATGTTGAGCATAAAATGTGAGCTAATTAATTCTCGAAAACGTTTCTCCTGTTGTCGTTGTTGATCATGAAAATGATGATTATTTTGATTTGAATTTTGTTCAGTAGCAAATATATTTGAACTAGAAAAGGCACTCGATTGAACATTAGAAAATAATGATGATACAGCTGTCAGATTACAGCTTAATGTGACATCTTGTCCGGGAAATGGAATCGAAGATGTCGTATGAAGTGAAACTTGTAAGAAACCTATACAAGAAAAAATGATCAATATGTCAATCAAAACGATTAATTAGATCAATTTAGGAATATAATTAGAAATTACTTTTGACAAACAGAAACATTTCATGTCGTATGATGGAATTAGAATTGTTAGCTACACAAGAAATGATTCCCGTATCTTCAATCGAAACTTTTTCGATTACAAGAAAATTACGGCCATAAATATATTGGCCATTGGCTAGATTTGATATTTGTTTCGAAATTTGAACGGGTTCATTATGATCACCATTCACATTTTTATTTGATGATGAGTGAGCAACATACGGCTCATAACCAATCGTATATGATGATTGGGCAATAGATTCAGGACCAAATGTACTTAGAGTTTTCAAATCAGTATGGTACCATTCAACCATAGGTGTTGGATAACCATCAAATGAACAATAGAAGAAAGCTGATTCACCTTCATCAATCGCAATTGTATGACGACTTTGTAATTGTGGATTAAGTCTTGGACCCGAATTGTAAAAATCATTTGTTTCTAAATTTTATTTGAAGAAAAGAAATTTATTTTGAGTTTTTGATTTTGAGATACAGGTATCACAAATATCACAAATACACTCACTTTTGAATAAAATGTGTGCCCATGATTGAGAATATTGACGATGATTTGTGATTTGATGACGAATTTGGCAACGATAACGATGCTTAGCATCACGATAGCTAACGCTTGAGATGAGCAAATCTCCACTACCAGGTAAAACAAAATGTCTGATTGTAGAAAAATTCACTAGAATTGAATCATAAAAAATGATGTTATTTAATTATTTTGACATAATTATCTTCAAAATTGTTGATTATCTTAGAAAAAAAATGATACGGAATTAGCAGTTATCTCCTTTGAAATTTGTATGATAGATAATTTTTTCTTCGACGGAAACTACGTCGATGTAAGGCAAATGAAGATAAAAATGATAGTTTTATATTGCCATAATTCTTTATCAGAATTTCAAAAAGCATTTGAAAGAAAGCCATATTTTTTAAAATTTTGATTAATTCAAAATGGAAAGAAAAAAATATAAATAACAAACATAGTTATGTGTCGGGAAATTTTCATGAAAAAATTGGTCCCAATCTTTTTGATTTGGTTCTGTATTTGGTATTCCAGTTCAAATTTCGTTCAGTATATTCACATAAATATCATGGTGTGTATAAGCAAACATTCCATGAATAACTTTATGGTTTCAGATATTTAAAATTCTTTTCAAATATAAAAAATATTTGAACAATAAATATGGGACAATTTTTTTTTTGAATTCCAACTCGAAATGATTGACGAATTCTAGTGAGGAAAGTTTTTGATTCTATTTTTTTTTAATTTTGTTTCATGTGTGCGTGAAAAAGTCGATACAATATATTATAGCATTGTATAAAATTGAAAAAATAGGTAAAAACTTTGCAAACATTCGCGGTATCGATTATTGAAAACATTACAAATTATTATACAATGGATAAACAAAACAAATTCTTCAAACATTGGTCATTATTATCGAAATGACCATTTCTTAAATAAACATTGTATTCCCATTCAATATCGATTTAATTCACATCGTTATCTTATTTTGTTTTCGAAATTAACGTGTTGTCATTGTTTTTTTGTTTGTTTCTAAATTCGATTTAGTTCTGCCTCTCTTTTTTTGATCTGATGTGTTTTTTTTGTGTGTATGTGATATGATTAGTTTGATTAGCTTTTTTTCTGTCATTTTCCGAAATGACAATCCATATACATTGGCAGCCTGAACCAATTCGATGTATTCGAGCTTGAACCAATGAAAAGGAGGAATCGAAAAAGAAAAAGAAAGAAAAATCGAATGGCTCTTGTTCCAATCATTTGTTGTATTGAATAATAAATTTCTTCATTGCATTCGTTTTTTCTTTTGGTTCTCCTTATACATAAAATATACGATTCGCTATTCGTTCATCTACATTGACATTGGTGGTGTCCATTTTATTGATTACAATCACGTACTGGCCGCTACAAAAAAAAACACATATATACAGACAAAAAAACACTAGACGACAACATATATAAATATATCGAACAAGACGAACGATGGAAGCTAATAGCTATAATGGTTCCAAATGGTAAATGAAGAATTCATTTCAATCCATAAAGGATCAAAATAAAAATGAAAATGAAATAAATAGTAGAAAATGGAAACAGACGTGAAATTGTATGTATGTTCGATACAGATTCAATTTAATCCATTCTGAAACCATTATTATTAGTTTTTTTTCTGGTATTTTATCTACTATATAATACGAAAATTCTAACCCGAGTGGAAAAAATGAAAAATTATAACCAACCAAGAAAAAAAATAGAATCTTTGACCATTCGGAATTGGAAAACAATAATAATGGACATTTGGTGAATCGACATTTTGAAGAAAAAAACAATTTAAAAAAAATTCACATATTGAAATTGAAATTTGTTTTTCTTTTCAATTATATAAATAATTTTTTTCCGGTTGTTCTGAAAACAAAAACAAATGATGATATGCGTTTTCTTTTGTTTTGTTTTGAATGAATGAAAAAATATGATTCAAGAAATAAGAGAAAAAAACAAAAAAATTTAAATCCAAAATATGAGTGTTTAAAATGATTTCCTTTTCTTTCGTTTTCAAGATTCAAATATTTCTTTCTTTTTTTTCATGTTAAGCAAAAATTTCCTCCCACCAACACACATCGTTATTATGGGTTTATTCCCAATAGCAAAAAGAAAGAAATAATGAAATAATTTTATTTTTCTTCTTTCAAAGTCCAAAATACTAATTTATTCCAAATGAATCTTTTCTAGTTTTATTTCTATTTATATGAATTCTTAATGAATTTTAAAAGCAAAGTTTTTTTACCGCTTTTTATTTCGTTTTTTTGTTTGTTTTTTTTTTTTTTTTTTTTTTTTTAAAATAAAAAGGAGAAAATTTTTGCCCTTTTTATCGAGTTTGCTACCGTTTAATTTGTTTCGAATGATCATTATGATGATGATTAGAGCGAACTAAATGGCTAATTTGTTCTGGTAAGAAATTTGAGTAATAATGTTTTGTTTTTCTTAGTATTTTACAACAGCAAAATACCCGAATATGGATTCAGAATTTCAAAAAAATGCAGCATAAAAAAATTCTTAATTAATTCAAATTTCTTTGTAGGTAAAAATGGCCATTAACTNTTATTTATATGAATTCTTAAAGAATTTTAAAAACAAAATTTTTTTTCCCCTTTTTTTTTTGTTTTTTTTTTTTTTTTTTTTTTTTTTTTTTGTTTCTTAACATAAAAAGGAGAAAATTCTTGCACTTTTTATCGAGTTTGCTACCGTTTAATTTGTTTCGAATGATGATTATGATGATGATTAGAGTGAACTAAATGGCTAATTTGTTCGGGTAAGAAATTTGAGTAATAATGTTTTGTTTTTCTTAGTATTTTACAACAACAAAATACCCGAATATGGATTCAGAATTCCGAAAAAATGCAGCATAAAAAAATTCTTAATTAATTCAAATTTCTTTGTAGGTAAAAATGGCCATTAACATAGGAATAGGAATGATTGAAATAAAGTTTTGAACTTACCATAGTGAACTGTATTGGACGATAATGATGATGATGACGATGATGATGATGATGATGTTGATGATGACGTTGATAATCCACCGGACAATGTACGACGTATACTAGATACAAGACGTTCTAATGGTAAATAAATTTTTCCATCATCACGAAACCAAGCGGCTACTTCATATAACGAATTATAACGATTGAATTCACATTTCAATATTGCATCATTTCCTTCATATACTTCGGATGAATTCAATACTCGTACACGAATCATTTGATCATCCATTGATAATGTTTGTTCGTGTGTTAAACGTTGTTTGGCACTTGTGTGATGATCCATATTAATAGTGTTTGTAGATGATTTGATTGTTGATGCTCTATTAGTTGTAAAACGTTCGACCACTGTTAAAATAAAGAACAACAAAAAAATAATAATAATTACCAAAATCATTAACATGATCGAAATGAATACAAAGAAAAATTTACTGGAATAAAAATTAATTTTTTTCATAAAAAAATATTGATGATAATTCTTCATTCATTGATGCCGTCATCGAAACATATTTCATTTTTTAGGCATCCAAAAGAAAGAAAATCGTAAATGAACCGCATCAAGCATTTTCGTTTTTTTTCAAATTCAAAACTTTATCCATTTTTTTTCTTTCAATGAATTTCCATCACAAGCACCCTATTGTGTTGACCAAAAAAAAAAAATTTTTTTTTGTCTATTTGCTAGCCCAAGTAATTGTCTTGTGGATTCGGTCGTTAAAAATGTTTATCCACATCGTCATCACCATCATCATCATCATCAAAAGTCGAGTGTTTTTTCTCCGAAACGAATCTATCGTATTGTTAGAATAAAAAATGCAAAACAACAACAACAAAATTCATCTATGATGTGGTATCTGATGTACAAGTTTTTTCCCTATATTTTCATTCTGGTCGAAGGAATCGATGTAATACATGCATACACAATTCGTTTCAAGTGTGTTCAGACAAGCGTTTCAGATTTTTTTTAGTACTATTTCTTTTCATCATAAACCAAGATTTTTTTCTCGTTTGCTTACGAATGGAAAAATCAACTTTGAAAAAGCTCAAACGATGCGAAAGAAACTGATAGTATAAATGTGTGTTTGTGTGCAGCAATCGTTTTCATCTATATCGCTTCCTTTTTTTTCATTCTTTGTCGGCATTTTTTTCCTCTCCCTGTCGTCGGTTAACAAAACGAATGAATGAACGTATTATTCCAATAGAAATGCAAATTTGTGTATATTGATAGTGATGATGATGATGATGATGGTTTTGTTGATTACCACTAATATCATTATCATGATGATGGCTGTCGGTTTTTTTCTTGATTATTTAGCTAAAACATTTGAAGTTTTTTCATGAAATTCAAAAAAAAAATATCTGGTCAAAAATTATTTTGGAAATTCCACATTCATCATCATATAAGATGAATAAATTAATTAATCAAGAAAATTTTCATTTATGAAAATGAAAAAAACTTAAATTTTAAAATATTCATTTGAAAAATCAAATAACGATAAATTATGAAAAATAATTTGAAAAGTATTGAATGATAATTTTTGAATGGCAAAAAAGAAAGACAGATAGAGAAAAACTTTCAGCTCCAAAACACACATACATACAAAATTGATGACCTTTTTTTTCTTGCTCTTTTGGAATAATCATTGATGATTTTCATGTTCTGTGATTGTTATTTTATTAATCATTATCATTACAATTATATTTCTCATTTATTTGAATATCAACCGTATTCTAAACACACATATAGACAGAAATAAATTACTAGCCAAAATTTTGCTTTTCAAATTTGGTTAAGTGATAAAGGCAACCAGAGAAAGAAAAATGGAAATGAAAAAAAACCAAATTTTTTTCGGTTCAGTTCCAAAACTAAACCAAAAAAAAAGAATTTATATTTTCGGGCGTCGATGCGATCAGTAGGATCAGACCAACCACATACAAAAAAACACACACACTCACTCACGATCATCAGTCATCCATCATCATCATAATGATTAGGTTAATTTCTACTTCAACTATGGGATTCTTTTTATTTTTGATATTTTTTTTTTGCCCATTTTTTTCCTAATATCCAAAAGATAAAAATTGACGACCTTTTTTTTCTTCCGTTTCGCTACTGCAATATAGATTTTTCGAATAAAATGTTTCATGAGTTTGTGTGTATGTGTGTTTTCACATGATTACCATGTTGATGATGATGATGATAGAAATCTAAATCGAATCAATATGTATTTGGAAAAGAATTAATTCGTTGTTTCTAAATAGAAATAAGTAAGACTATCATTCTAATCACAATCATCATCATCATCAACATAGGATGAATGTAAAAAATAAATGTTGCTACCGTTATTTGTTATTTATCTGCAGATTAGATGAAGGAAAAAGTATCCTTTTTTAAAATTAAAAAAATAATAATATCAATTATAATCATTTATGATGAGTGGAACAGTGTGAAAAAAATCGACATCCATAATTAAATTAAAATGAATGATCGAAGCTTCATTTTAACAAATTGAAAAAAAGCATCCATTGTATTTTTTCATGATGAATATAGAAAAAATAACATCAAATTGAATTGATGATGATGGAAAATTGATGATGAAAAAAAGTTGTAAAAATTTAATTAAAAAACATGATGTTCCAAAAAAAAGGGAGAAGAAAAATAAGAAAAAAAAATGCTTTAGGCTATAAGACAAATGACAAGGTGTGTGTGTGTTTCTTAAATTCTGTAAATTCATTGACTTTATTCGGCTCACTATGTGTATATTGTATAACCTTAAATAATGATTGAAGTTATTTTTCATTTTCGTCAAAAAAAAAGAAATAAATCGGGAAGAAAAAAAAATGTATTTCATTCAAAATTATTACACTTATTCTTGATGTCTGAAAAAGCAAAATCATGAATGACAACGAGAATAAAAGTAAAAACCTTCTTTGAATTGTCGTCTAAGAAAAAATGATAAAGTTCTCCAGTACAAAAATCTATTGATAGCTTAAGGCAATCGTGAATATATTCATATTCGATTCAAATTATTATAAAAATTTTCGTATATTTATTTGCATTCTGTACAGTGATAAAGAACAACACACACACACACAAAATATTCATCGTTTGACAGCGAAAATCAAAAATTGATCAATTCTCAGTTCCATTTTTTTCAATAAATTCGAATCCATAAACGTATTTCAATTGCAATTATAACCAAATTCAAATATTCGCTTTTTTGCAATATAATCATCAAACACATTCGAATATATTGAATAATATGACACTTTATAACGAGTATAAATAAAAAACCGGAAACATTGCCTGTTAATGTTTTTTTTTGTTGAATGTAAAAATGGATAAGCAAAAAATTATTAGCATTTTTTTGAAAAAAAATTCCCGACAAAATTTTCAACAAATATTTTAAATTATTCTGACTCACAGAAGCAAATTGGCTTTTTATTGAATGTCAATCGATTCACGCTTAACATCAACATGAAAAATACGTCTCATCAACAACAGGAAAAGAATATTTTGTCTTGAAAATGAGAAATAACAAAAATATTCTAACAACACAAAAACAATATCAGAAAAAAAGCTCTTTAAATGCATACTTATTATCATAATCATTATATTGACATTTTTTAAAAATATTTTCCTTCTTTCCTGTTCTCACCTAACCATTTTCTTACCAAGAAAAAAACCATATATGTTGTTGATAAAAAATTAAAAAAACCTTCATAGTTTTCATTTTAAAATATGACCGACCATCAATAATAACAAAATTTTCAAATATAAACATCAAAGAAACTCGAAAAAAATTGGCCAATTGTCAATGCTTAATGACAATAAATTTCTGGTAATTTGAATTGAATTGGAATTGAAAATACATCGAAATATATAAATTTACAATTCCGGTTTTACTTTACGATTATATGTTTACCATTATTGCTAATATCATTTTCATTTTATGATATTATTATCCATTGCTTTTTTTCTTAATGTTTTATTGAATCCGATCCAATGGTTGCTATTCAAAATTTAAAATTCTATATTTCATTCGAATAACATTCCGATCAACATTGAATAAATGGATGGGAAAAGAAATGAAAATTCACTTGCAATTTCAAATCGTTGATCGATTTATTTCCATCCATTCCATTCGTTCTATCCTGTACTTTTTTTATGATTTAAATCGATGGAATTTTCGTTTCAAAAAATAATGGAAATTATTGTCAACAAGAGTGACAATAAAAAAAAGAATTTTTTTTTGTCATTGAAAAGCAATGAAAATTCGGTAAATTTGGTTTGAATACGAGAAAAATTTTTACATTGCCTGTCAAAAGTATAGGTTGAACAAAGTATTGTTTTCTTCCCCACTTTGTATCAATTCGAATAAAGAAAAACCTAATCACACAATTCAAATTAAACTTTTTTCGTTTAGAATCCAAGTGTGTGGAAAAAACGACATGTATTCAATGAAAAAAAGAATTGACAAAAAAATAGAAGTGAAAAAATTTTATGATTCGTGAGAAATCGAAATTGTTTAAAACATACACAAACAAAAATATTATGGCCATTAATCGACCATTATCTTTTGGGTTAGAATATTTGTCTGAAATGTTTACTTTTTTCGAAGCCCAAATTTTTCTTATTTTCTCAGCTATGATAGAAAATGATAGAAAAATTAAGAAAATCCGTTACAGATATATAGGAAAAAAACAACAACATAATTCTAATGTTCTGATCAGATAATCTCAAACAATATGGAATAAAATCATCTAAAAATAAAACAATCAGATGCAGATCAAAATTATAATGATAATAATGATGATATTTTTTCTTTTCTCTTTCATTCTTAATAGAAATTTTTGTTCAATTCAAGCAGCATTGTTTTTTTGTCATTATCATTCGATGTTATTGTTCTCGTTTAAAGACAAAAAAAAACTATATATTGCAACAGAACAAAGTAAAAAATGAAAAAAAAAATTTGAATTTGAATTCCAGAATTGATGAATAAGAAATCTGAAAGATATGCGTATATCATCAAAACCAATAATGCTGATGATGATGATGATGGAATACAAGTTTGGAAAAAAATCTATTGAACAACAAAACCGACAAACTCCGAATGAAAAAAAGAAATAGCAAAAGAAAAGAAAAAAATTGCTATTTGAATAGATATAAATTGATTTAAATTTTATGTAAATTGGCATTCCTTATGCATTCAAGTCTTTTGGTTGCAAATTTATATTCCTTTTGTTTGATATGGTTTGATCAGGAGCTAAAACCATTGTTACATTAAGATTTTGGATGCAAATAGAATTGAACGGAAAACAAAAACAAAACCAAAGAAAAAAAACCATAG